TCTGAGGGTTTCTTACTTTTAGACTAGACAAGTTACACAGTTATGCTTTAAACGGCAGAGATTTTAGTCGTAGTGCACATCCCTATTCATATCAAGATAAATGATTTTTATTGATCTTTTCTTCCTGAAATTGAGTTATAAACAACTACAAAGCTGTTTTTGATATTTATAGATATATCTGTCTAGATATAGATAAATAGTTAAAACATTGTATTAATTAAAAAATAATTTAATTATATAAATTGTTTAAAAAATTTATTTATTTACAATTTTTAAAATTTTTGTCTGTTAAGTATAACATAAAAACACAGTTTATTACCACAAATGATTTGTTTCAAACACTGGAAAATCTTTTGGCACTTGTTGAATCTCCCTCTAATTGAAAACTTTTCTACAGCTCTGTTCCATTAAGATGAGAATGAGAATGAAAATCTTTCAACAGGTTACAGAAAAAGAATTGTATTTTTAACAAAAAAAAGTTGAAAAAGTTGTGTACCAAATTCTCTCTGCACGATACATCGTATTTTAATCTGGATTTTTTTATTTATTTCGATTAAGCATAATGGTCTGCGATTAATTATTATTATTTTATTTATTTTTTTTTCAAAAAGCCTTTCACTTTCATTTGACATTTTGCGTTGGTAACATCCAAGAGCTTTCATGTTTGCGGTTACCAAATGTCAAGAGTTTAAAATCAACCAATCAGAGCTTTTTTTTTCCAACATTTTCTGCTTAGTGTTTTACTTAATCATCTCAACCTGGCAACCATGCACACACACTCTTTCTGCCCTGAAAAAGTGCTGATGATCTGAAAATATGCTATATTTTTCTGAAATGACAGTGTAATAAGTCTGTTTTTTCATCTGGTCATTTATGCAGTTTTCTGCAATTTGCATGCAAGTTGACATTCTCTTAATTTGTATCAGAGTCAAAGTGCATTAATTCTGATGAAATGTAAAAAAAAAAAAATTCTAAAACGACAATAATTGTGATTATTATACACTATGCACTATGTACTCTACCATAGTGCATGAATTTTAGAAGGGTAGTTTGCCATCTTTCTTAGTTTCCAGCATGCCACACTTCTTGTTGGAATATGCCTGTGATCTGGGTCATTTTGAGACATCATAACCTGTGTTTCAGTGAGTAAGTAAATGAGCCATCTGACCTGATTCAGTCCTGTGATTGATTCATAACTCTTTCTGCTGTTCGTGTTGCTCATGAGAGTCTTGTCATTACAAGTGTGTTCTGAACAGTGTTTCGTGTGGGTGTTTGAACGACCTCTGCCTGCAGTCACCTGTGCATTAATGAGAGTGAGAGAGAGTTTTACAAAGACCTTCTGACCTCACACCTTCATCACTCATGCACAGCAGTGTGGTAAACAAACAGCATCCATCAGGGCCGGTGTTGATGAACCAGAGGCAGAAGTAGGTCAGAATTCTGACTAACAAGTGTGTGTTAGAATAAATGTAGGCCACTTCATACAGCCGCAGTTGGTGCTTAGTACCATTTTGGAAACAGATGAACTTCTGAGCTTAGACAACTGGGGCATTAGGTGTGGAAAAACTACAGGTTTTCATAATTATCTAGTTGGTGGTGGCTAGTCAGGTTTATATAATAAAACAGGTCTAGTGCTATACACAGATAATTGCAGCCTCTCAATAAGGTAATTGACAGATATTTAGTTAATAAATAGGCTTAAAGTCAACATGAAATCATAATGGAACATTTTTATATATAAACATTTAGGTTTTATTTTGTGCAGACCTTCAGTGTGCAAAAAAAATCATTGAAAGTTTTCATTAAAATGTAATTAAATTTCCTTTTCAGCTGATGAAATGGATTTCTCTAACATCCTGGCTCCATGATCCAATCAATGTGATAACATTTAAATCATTTTTTTTTCTTGTTTAATGTTCTATTTCACTCAGATTATGGAATGAAAATAGATGAGCAGCATTGCACATTGACATTTGGGTTTGAAGTTAGAAGTTTGAAGAGAGAATTTATTTGGATTTATTTTAAAATTTAATGTGAAGGCATTTTTTACAGATGCTTTTACCATTCTTGAAGTGTAACTGTTGGACTTTTAGCAGACTATAAAGCACAGCATGCTGTCAGCACGCTCGAGCCTTTCTGAAAAGTTTTGACTGTAAATTAACCTGCTTTAAGGCACAGTTGAACATATTAAAAGTACAAACCAAAACTAAAAATATGTGTTTTCCATACAAATATGTACAGCACTATTCATTTTGTGTCATCTATTTTCTCTCTTTTTTTTCAAATCTGTTCTCACTGACCTGCATTGCAAAAATGTTAACCTAATTTTCATTTTGTTATTCAAGATATGTTAATCCTCTTAATATCATCCCATATACTTATAACTAGTCTGAATTGTTATGTGTAGCACCATTTGTAACCAGTGACTCTACGTGAAGCCCATTCACAAACTGACATAATTCCTCTTCCTTTTGTGGGCACTCATGGACAGTGTTACATAATGATAGCTACCTAGTTGTGTGTGTGTGTGTGTGTGTGTGTGTGTGTGTGTGTTTCTAAAGTCACAACAATAGTGCACCAATTATATAACAATGCAATACAAATTATATTAAGATTCTGGCTAATACAGATAAACTAATAATAATTTTTGTACTTGTTATGGTTAATAGTGTTTAAAGTGATGTGAATCTATATTTGAAATGAAAAGTAATGACAATAATAATAATAATACTAACAATAAATGTGCCCTTAAAGGGTTAGTTCACCCAAAAATGAAAATTAGTCCATAAATTACTCACCCTCAAGGCATCCTAGGTGTATATGACTTTCTTCTTTCAGACGAATCCAATCAGAGTTATATTAAAAATTGTCTTTGATCTTTCAAGCTGTTTAATGGCACTCAGCAGGTGTTGCAGTGCATCAGTCCAACAGAAGTGAAATAAAAAGCACCCATCCATTAAAAAAAGTGTCTCTCATGGCTCCGGGGGGTGAACAAAGGCCTTCTGTAGCGAATTGATGCGTTTTTGTAAGAAAAATAACCATATTCAAAACATAACAATTACTTTAATGTAGCTTGCGCCAACAGTTGTACACAGAAGCAGCTCCGGGAGGATGACGTATGAGGTCAGCGTTGTGCATGTGCCGGTGAGTCTCGTGAAAACCAACGTTTGTTTACAGGATCAAAGGAAGCAAAGTTTCCTTACTGTAGCAAAGGAAAACCAGTCTCCTCTTGGCTTATATCGAAATCCTCCGA